TATTATTTTAAAAAAAAAGTGCAAGCAATTTTGGAAAAAAAAATGTGCAATTATTGTAATATTGGTGTTTCTATAAAAAAAAAATTGGACAACGTAGGTAGTTTTTTGGGGTATTGTGTGTTATTAGGAAAAATAATAGTGGAAATTTTTTTTGGAGGGTTTTTATTTTTTTTTAAAAAGACAGGTGGAAGTCATTTATAGGGCAAAAAAAAGAGGAAAAGAAAAAAAGGGGGGGGGGAGTGAATGAGAATTTAGAGATTGGGTTTTGGAGTGTTGTGGTTAAAAGTTGAAAAAACCGCTCTACAATTATAAGGCAAAAAAAAAAAAAAAAAAAAAAAGGGGGGGGGAGTGAATGAGAATTTAGAGATTGGGTTTTGGAGTGTTGTGGTTAAAAGTTGGAAAAACCACTCTACAATTATAATATAGATAGATGTCATAAATATAAATATAACTTGATGGTGGTTAGATTTCCAAACCTATACTTCCTTCGTTTTTTTCATATTGCAATGTTGGGAAAAATACTCTTATGCCTTACAAACATCTTTTAAACAGGAGCTAAGTTAGAATGGAGTGAGGGACATAGAAAAGACAAATTACACAAAGTTCACTGCAGAATGAAAATTTAGTCAGTTGTTTAATTGCACTCGAAAAACCTAATGAAATGCATTCACAAATTTATCACTAGATACTGAAACTCTTTACATTCGAAAAAAGTCTTATCATCAAACCATCATTAAATCTATGAACAAACACTCAAGGAACTCGAAATTCTGAACTAAGAAAAAAACTGGGGTATTTATTTGTACCTTTAACTATTGTTTTCTTCTGACATTACAAAAAATCTACTAACTAAAAACGCTGCACACTAAACTTCCATTCCCCTTTCACTGGATCATAGGAGACAAACTCGGCACCTTGTTTTTCAGCTGCCTGCTTCAACTTCTCAATGTATTTCTCAACCATTTTCTCACAAGTATGGTGTTTTCCAATCTTGTCAACACATTTAACATTCAGAAGAGTAACTTCAGCTGCCTTGTTAAGGCCTTGTCCAACTGGAGGCTTCTCACTCTCATCATCATACACTATCACCTCTCGATAATTGAAGTGAACTAAGGAGTCAAGATTGAGTCCACGTACATTTGTCTCCCCGTAAAACTTCACCCAACCAAAGCCATCTCGGCCCACTACAAAGTCCTTTACATGGGAGCAAAATCCTGGATTAGATCTTTCAATTGATGCTAACTTCTCAATTTTGGGCTCTGTGTAGTAGTCAGAGCGTTGTAGCTTTGGGAGCAAGAGCTCCAACTCTTTTGCACTGTCATTGGTTTTAGCAAAATCATCTTTATGAGAGATGGGTTCAGAACTGCTGATTTGGGCTTTCTTAGCATTGTCTATACCTGACACATCAGAAGAAATGAAACTAGGATCTCTACGTAAAATAATTCACAGCGCAAGTGACAATTATAGAGACATCAAAACTGTAGAAATCATAAATTGGCATAAATGATACTATAGAACAAGGACACAAATTCATTCAAGTAGCTACACTCAGATGCTTAGTTTCTTATACAACACAAATTTTAGAATAATAATTGGCAATCCCATCATATTCTGAGGCATCAAGAGCATATATGGTGGCCAGAATGGCAGAATGTGATATGATCTGGAAATGGGAACATACTTTATTCAAGGCTAGAAAATGAAACCAAGTCTTAGCTTAGACCGTCTCATACTTTTTTTTAGTTGTGATACATTAACAAATTAACCTCCTTAACAAGTAATGTCACTCTTCCATAGAATTAGAATTGGCACCATCTCATGCACGAGTTTTTATGAATCCAAAACATGAACACAAAGACAAAAGCCAATCAAGTTTCTGGAAGCCTTGTCCACGAGTCCTCCAAAATACTAAAATCATAGATATATTTCCCAACAGAACAAAATCAGGAACCTCACTTATTTTAACAAAACTATGTGCTTTTTGAATATCTTCTTTGTGTTTATTTTACTCAAAATTTCCTCACCTTTGTAATAAGATTTCTTATCATAGGTAGTTTCTCATTTATCATTAATCCATTTTATACTTTGTTGCCTGTATAGTGGAAATGTATGATGCATCAAAACCTATAAAATATGTATATGCACACATAATCTGTAGATCACAACCTGGCATATAATTCTTTAAAGGATTTTATAACAAGATAGAAAAAATTAGGAAAAGCTCCTAAAACAGTCAGGCCAATTTATCAGAGCTTGACTAAAAACACACAAAATGAATGACATACCATCCTCATACTCCACAGTAGCTGCATGATTAGTGCATATGCCTCTTTTTTGGAAGCACTGTCAAAGGTTGGCTCGGTGGATGCAACAATCACTGATCTAGGATTCTCCCTTGGAATTATATAATTATATCCCTTGCTTATATTTAGACCTTCTGCAGCCCGATCAAAGAAGGGCACCTATATTGGACAATGAGTGGAAACAAAGACTTCAACAAAGTAAGGGAAAAGAAAAAGTACAGATACAACAAATTCACAGAATTTCAACATAAATAATACCCTCCTCACCTTTGTACCATCACTGCTAGGATGATATTTCCTGACACTCACTGTCAACGGCTTAAGTGAATGGTGCCTTGATGTAAAATAAGATGGAACTCTGGTTTTTGCAGGTTTACTAGACACCTATTTGGCACAATAACATAGCCCATGAGATTTTTAAAAGAAAATCATGCTAAATAAAAAAAAATGTTTATTTTCAATGTAGCATGTAAAGCGTGTGGAAATACTCACGGGCATGCTAGAGATTCCATGTTGAATAAATGAAGAATGGGCAGAGTGATCCATCACTGGCTGGAATGTTGCAGTCTCAGATCCAAAAGGATCTTTCACAGCTATAATGCTTTTCGTGACCTTGCTTGTTGCTGTGAACCTATAAAGAAATAAGATGATTGCCTCAACATTTTGTGGTTAGTCAACTAATTGATTTTTTTTAAAAAGTGTATACAGCAAAAAGCATGAAATAAAAGTATGATACTACTGAACAAATTTTTACAACAATAAAAATGAAGATAAAAACATCAGCTTACTGTTGAGGAGGATCGGGCTGAGGCGAGCCAACATCGAGTGAAACACCTCCATTATTCCCTAATGGTTACCAGAAAATAGCAAACAAAGTTATAATGCTGTGCCAAAAATAGCAGTTACGAATATATGATAGATGTTGCACGCAGAAACCATTAGTATATCTTCATAATGATCATATGAACTTTTTAAAAATACCTGCTGAGACAAGAGGTGTTGTCCAGGGAGATGATGCTTGCTGATGAGGGAAGACAAAAGGAGGTTAATAGAACAAATTAAGCAAGAAAATATTACCAAAAAAAGAAAAGAATTAAACTATCCAAGAGACAGCAATGAGCATAAAACTATAACATAATCCAAACAAGAAAATCATGTATTGCAATTTCAACCAGATCAGATGAAAAATTCTTGATGAGCAACACACAGAAAGAAGTGATAGGAAGTTCAGAAAAATACTGCGCATTACTTACAATTGTATGGATCACTGAATTTCCATTATTTGGCCATGGTTTTGTCGATCTAATAGCAGAACTACTTGCTACTTGGTCACATCCATTTCCAGCAGATGGTGAGTGGATTGACAGGTGTTTAGGTGTTGTTCTTAAGTAATCAGGCCAAAGTCTTAAATCTTGAGTTGATAACTGAGGATTCTGTAGTAGCTGATTATTAGGATCACCGGCAGTGACTTGATCACATCCAGATCCAGTAATAATGGGCGTTCTGGTGTGAAATGCAGATAGATTTGGTGATGGGATTTGGAAAGTAGGAGTATTCATATTTGTTGAGAACGCTGGAGCACTACAGGATGGAGTAGGGATTCCCAAGGAACTTGTAACTGAAGGAAGAGGGATGCTCAAATGCTGTTTGTCAATCCCTTGTGCCTGGTTACTGACTGAATTCTGCTGGACTGAAAAACATAAAAAAAAAAAAAAAAAAAAAAACAAAATTCAAAATTATTTGATAGCAATATTATCAATAGACTTCTACAGACTACAGCAGCAAGTGATGAAGGTATAAAGAAAACAAAAGATAAAAAAACTTGTAACATATTAAGCATGCATACCTCCTGATGTTAGGCCATAGTTCTCCCATCTCAATTCTTCATGGCTTTTACCAGCGTAACAAGACATGCCTGATATTGAAATTAGTCTACAATGTTTTGAATCATCCTTAATAATGGTTTGCTCATATTATTTACTTCTTCATCCTGTATATTGGCCAAAAAAAAATTGCATTTACTTTACATCACAGAGAAAAAGCTCATAAAATTTACCAGAACAAAGATGTGGCGGACTGGCGGGAAATCAGCAGTATTAGAAGAATGTATACAAAAAAATGATTCTGCATTTAGACAGCTTGTGATTTTGTTTGAATTAGATTATTACTACCCTCAACAGAGTTCAAAAGCTCCGGTGAATTGGGTGGGGCATACTCAAAATAAAGTCCCTAAGGCAGCAGGACCAAGAAATGAAAACACAGAATTGCTACCCTACATTATAGTAGGTAAAGAAAAACATTTAGTTTTAGAGATTTAACTTTATTTCTTATTCATAGTATCCACAGAACAAATTCAGTTAGGCAAAGTAGAATTGTTATCACTACAATCTGTTAGTAATCAGACATTACCTCCAAAGTTTCCAGCATACATAGATCAAGTGTGAGAGAAATTTATTGCCTCACCCCGTTAGTACAAAAGTGTTGGAGGATATATAAAATTAATCCATAGGTGTATATTATTTTAAAATAATCACACAGATTTTTAGCATATCAACAATAAATCAGGATTCCATGATTTATTGCAACTAATTATGCCCAAAACATACAAACTCTAATGACTCTGTATCACAAGTCTCTATAGGATCAACAAACCCAACCACAAGTTTCTCACTGAAAATCCAAATTCCATAGTCTCAGTCACACTTGAGACTTGACATTGATTAGAACTGAAGAATGTTAAGATGGTCAAAAGACAATTAACAAAATTCTCACAACAGTCACAAGTCAAACATTTTATCCAGTAATTATTCAGTTCCTCAAATTAGTAATTCCAAGTGATAGCCATAACTGATATTGTTTATTCACGTAGAACTTAAATGGAGCCCAAAGAACCAAAAAAAGGTGCAGGTGTTCCAACAATTTAAAGATAATGTATTCATAATGTGAAATAAAAGCAGATAACAAAGATAATAAAATAATCATAAAATTCACTATTTCACCTGCTAGTAATGATGGGGAAGCCACAGAACTGGAAGTTGAAAATGGGTTGGCAGGCATTATTCCAAGTGCATTTGATGTTTGCCCAAAATTTGACCCTGTGACATGTGAAGCTAGTGCATTTCTCAATGGCATAAACGCAGCTGCATTGCTACTATTATTACTGGTAAATCCAACTATTGCAGGTGGTCCACAAGCTCTCGCTGATGTATCTCCAATTCCTAGATCGTAAAATGAAATATTTTGAAGAAGATATTGTTTACATCATCAGTAAGATGTTTGACATGGAAGCTAAGGAAATGGAAACCCCCTCCAAAGGTAATCTATTAGGAGGTAGGGTAGTAGAACGACTCAGTGGGTCACAGAGAGCAAGAGAAAGTATAAAACACATTAAGCTCCAAAGTCTTGATCAAATAATTGAAGTTCATATAGCCTCGTGTCAGCAAACTCTATGTAATAGAATGATTTCCTAAGTTTAGGAAGCCAAAGGAATGAATTTCCTCAACAGGTGAATACTGATTTTAGACCCTGTCATCTTTGAATGCTCCACAAGCTCACAAGAAAGAAAGTACTAATTGAATAAGGGCTAAGTGCTTAATAGGAAAAAGTAAGATATAAGAGGATAATCTATTTAAAGCAATACACATCCTGTCTATTACTCGTTGTGAAACGATGAATTGTCATATACGGGATTAAAGGTCAATGTTTTTCACCGGCCATGAATTAATAAAGATTGTGGCATACTCCTATGCCTTAATGATTATTCTTATCATGTCATTGACAATCACTCAGCATACATAATTGCTACTGTTTCATTTCCCATAAAAGCATACCCTCAAGAATGATGCTTGAGAACTTTTATTAGAGATCTAAGAGTAAAGGGCTTAGGAATCTGATTAATACCGAGAGGAAACTACTATATAATGTGGATGTAATAATGAAAAAAAAAACACAGTTAGGAAGTGAAACTGTATGCACCATCATCAATGAATCAACATAAAACAAGAAGCAACAACATTCAAATGTACAGTATCATTAATGAAAAGGAAATGCAGATATTTACCACATAAAGGATGCAGAAATTAAGCAAGTACCAAATAAAACTACGACTTCTTTGATTGATATTGGCGAATAGCAGGATTTGAACCTGCATCTTCTCCTGGGTAGGAGAAGACTTACCATTTTTATTATATTCGCAAATGTACAGTATCAATGTTGAAAAGAAAAGGGAGATATTCACCAATCACCACACAAAGGATGTAGAAAATATGCAAGATTAAGTACCAGCATAATGTTACAAGTTTATGTAGTTTTGGACAAATAGTGAGGACCGGTCCTACAGCCCCTCCTCGAGGGAAGAGTATCCTAAACTATAAGAGATACTGTGGTTGCTATATGTGCCAAATAGAACATATGACCATCAAATAATCATGACTAAAGAAAGTACCAATATTCAAAATCAAAGCAACCAAATCATAAACATATTAGTTAGCTTCAACTTGTCTCCCCTTCCCAGATTCTTCATTAGGCTATTACACTAATTACAGCATAACCTATGACAAAGAGCATTGATTCAATAACTAATACTAAATAAGTATCACTCTCTTCCATATTTACCTTCACCTATCTTAAAATCTATCCAATTCAACTATTCAGAAAGCTATTATGTCGGCCATTCTAGAGGCTTGACACATGAGTACATGACACACCACCTCCCCTACGAAAAAAGAAAGAAGAGAAGAAAAACAAATGAAAGTAGAACCGATACATGTATTGAAGGTGGCAGGAGAAGTCAGAAATGAAGATGATGATGCTCCAATTATCCAGTCGAAGTTCCACCAAAAAGTGACTTCTGTATTGAGGAATTTGGGATGGCTTCACACTCTATTGTATTACAAGCAACTGAATTATGTCCAGGAATTCTCTTATTTCCAAATAAAGACAAGGTAAAAAATAAAGAAGAGGAACAAGAACCTTGTCCAAACACTGTAGATTTGAAATAAAGAATGTATAAAAATATAAATAGATAAAGGACTCAGAGTTAAAAATATCAGAAAATTGTGTGTTTAGCAAATGGCAGATGAGAATGCAATAAATGATATGCATCGGCAGTTAATATAACTTAGAAGGCCTAAGTTCTCAAACATGAACAATACAAAAGCACACGAACTACTACGGAGTAATATGAAAAATAAACTCCCCATGGAAACAAAATCATGTTAAATAGATTTGACAAGGAAGCACGAAAATAAGTAAAAGCCAAACAATAAATGCTTCAATTATGGATAATACAGAAACCAAACATGATGATGACAGACCTCCAAATGCTCCTCTTGAAGTAGTAGAACCAAATGGACCATCATTTCCAACGTTTGTGGTCCCAAATGTTGATGACGATCCAAAGAAAGCAGTTGGTTGTCGTCCAATTGCTGGCACATAGAAGCAAACAGAGAAATCAGCACAAACTGACCAGAGAGCCATGGATTTGACTTCCACTTAAATCATATAAATTCTCGAACTGCCAAGCTATGGACATAATCATATAAATTATCAAGGGAATATTCAGAAGAAAATAAAATGATCCTTAAAATACATTGTGAAAAACCTGACATAAATCATTCATCACTTACTCAAGGATGGAGAAGAAGCCGACGACACTCCAAATACACCAGTTGATTTTCCACCAATAAATGATCCCTGATTAATGAAACTTGGGGAAGCAGTACTTCCGGTTATATTAGGAGCAAACATATGATTCGAATTGCTATCCTTTCCAAACAAACTTGACATTCCCAAAGAAGATGATGTTGATCCTAATACATTGGTTGTACTACCCCCAAAAATTAACCCTTGGGACGGTAAACTTGTAGTCTTTGTTGTATTTGGAGCGAACACATTACTCAAATTGCTACCATTTCCAAACAAACTTGACGTCCCTAAGGAAGAAGATGCTTCTCTAAATACATTGGTTGTAGTACCCCCATAAGCTGACCATTGGGTAGATACATTAGGGAAATTTGTAGTCCCCAATGCATTAGAAGCAAACAGATTACTCGAATTGCTACCACTCCCAAACACACTTGATGTCTCCAAGGAAGAAGATGCTTCTCCAAATGCATTGGTGGCGTTATAGCCAAAACCAGACCCTTGGGTAGATACATTAGGGAAATTTGTAGTACCCATTGCATTAGAAGCAAACAGATTATTCAAATTGCTACCACTCCCAAACAAACTTGACGTCTCAAAAGGAGACAATGAGGCACCAAATACATTGGTGGCATTACCACCAAAACCTTGGGAAGCAAACAAATTACTCAAATTGCTAACATTTTCAAACTCACGTGGCGTCTCCAAGGAAGTCGAAACTTGCCCGAACACTGTAAAATGGAGAATAAAAAAGCTCAAAGCCATTCAAAGTACTATATCCACAACAACACCTTAAGTATGTTAAGCATGCATGATTATACTACGTACATTTTTATATTTAATAGGTATACAGAGACCAAGTCATGCAGGTACTCTAAATATCCCAAATTTTTTCTATAGTCAATGAGAAATCAGGAAAAACTTCAATTAAGCATGGCTTTTTTTTTTTTTGGGAGAATGGCAAAATTTCAAGTTTTTCTATCAAATCAACCCTTTTCCACTATTTTTGCTACAAATTCGATCATCAATTGAAACCCTAGAAGAAGAAACTCAACAACAACGATAAAAAAATTGCAAATAAGTAAAATAAATATACAGAAAACCCCTAAATATCAACAATTCAAATCCTAGATTAATGAAATTGAGCAATTATGAACAGAAACTTGTGAAATTTCAAAAAATAAATACTCCGAGTTAATTTTAAAAATTAAAAGACGTCGGAAATTACCTCCAGCCATCAATCCGGATCGCTAGAAGCTTCAATAGATCACAATGAATGCAACAAATTTGAAAGTTGGAATTTGGAAAAAAAATTAGTAACATTAAAGCAAATTAAAGGAGAAAATATAAAAGAATCCATATATATATAGAGAAGAACTTAGCTTGAAAATGGTGCAGGAAATAATATAAATTGCCCAGAATATTTGCTCGGCGTCAGAAGAACGCAAAAGATCTTCAACTCCCGCGTTTTTTTTTTTTTTTTTTTTTTTATTTTAAAAAAAACTGCAAAATCATACTCACATTCTCACACGATACATGTACTTTGTATAATGTACTTATGTACTCCTCGGATTGGGCTTGAGATCAAGTTGGGCTTATGTTTAGCAATGGTTTAAAATGCCGTTACTACTTAGAATTTGTTATAAACACTTTGGTTGCGCGCGAAGGAAAACAGGGCACCAGTCAGATCTTCTGACTGCCGTGCCACGACACAATCTGCCGTGTCACGGTACAGTGCACCGTCTGACGGTGCACAGTACCCCGTGACACGGGAATTTTGGTCGTGTCACGGTACAGTGCATCGTCTGACGGTGCACAGTACCGTGACACGGGAATTTTTGCCGTGTCACGGCAGTCCTAAAATCAGTCTGGTGGCTTATTTTCTTTCCTCACAGTCGACTTCCTTCGATTTTTCTGAAAAAACGTATGTGTTCTACATGCGTCTTAGCCCCGGGGGATTTAAGCTCTATCGACCCAAAAACGCTCATGACAATAAGGGTTCATCCGAGTTATTAAATCCACCCAAACCATGGAGTCGAGTTCGATTTCATCACGAACTCGCGGAGTCGCCCGTTGGCATACACCCTCAAGGGAGGCTGCCTTGCTAACGCGTCCAAACTCTTAACCATGGTACCCTTTTGACACCCAAAGCTTGACCAATAGTTGAACATAGATCTTGACTCTAGGTTGCGAACTTTTTACATCATCGTGCCTAAATGCTATGTGGTTGTTTGGTGCTAACGTTCATGTGTTTGCTATTTTGTTTAACCCATGACCGAGGGTTTTTATTCTCACATAGTAATTAGTACGGATCTAAAATCGGTTAAAATCTGGAAAAATCACAAAACTGACCTGGAACTGCGCACCGTGTCACGGCATGTTCTGTCGCGCCACGGTGAACAGTGCCGTGACACAGGGCTGTCTACCGTCTGACGGCAGACTGCACCGTGTCACGACAGTCTGCACCGTGACACGGTGCCCAGGAAAGTGTCCTGTCAGTCTTTTTTTTCGATTTTTGTGCGAATGCTGTGTCCAGTTTGATGTCATGTCTAGCTATACGGTCAAAACACGCGTCTATAACTTCACTTAATCACTCACATGTCGTGTTCACACACTTTTTGCTTTAAGTTGTGCACCACTTTTTTGACCGTATTTTAGGGAAGTCTTGTTTTTGTGTCTTTTTTTTTTCGGAGTAAGTCGGATGGTATCCTCCCTTTAAAAATAAACAAGTAGAATTTCAAAATTATAGATTTTTTTTTTTTAAAAAAAAAAATTGCCGTGTCACGGTACAGTGCATCGTCTAACGGGGTGCCGTACCGTGGCACGACAATTTCCATCGTGACACGGTGGATTTTCAAAAAAAAAAAAATTGTCGCGTCACGGTACAGTGCAACGTCTGACGGGGTGCCGTACCGTGGCACGGCAATTTCCACCGTGACACGGTGGATTTTCCAAAAAAAAAAAAAAAAAAAATTGCCGTGTCACGGTACAGTGCACCGTCTGACGGGGTGCCGTACCGTGGCACGGCAATTTCCACCGTGACACGGTGGATTTTCCAAAAAAAAAAAAATTGTCGTGTCACGGTACAGTGCACCGTCTGACGGGGTGTCGTACCGTGGCACGGGAATGTTCACCGTGGCACGGCAATTTCCACCGTGACACGGTGGATTTTCCAAAAAAAAAAAAAAAAATAAATTGCCGTGTCACGGTACAATGCACCGTTTGACGGGGAGCCGTACCGTGGCACGGTGGAATTTTCAAAAAAAAAAAAAAAAAAAAAAAAGAAAGCGTCAGTCAAGTTTTCCGTGTTAATTTGGTCCTCGCATCAGTCATTTTGGTTATTGTTCACATGTCTAACCGTACAATCATACCACGAGTCTTATAACATCACTTAGTCACTCACGAGTCAAGTATAGTCCACACACTTTCTTTATGTTCCGACTCGAGTCGTGCACCAGGTCGTTTATGATCGTATATTAGGTTCATGCACCCTTTTTTCGTCATAATAAAAAATGAGTGGAGTTTTCTCACCTGTTTTCAAATGTTCATTTTTTTCCTTCCTTTCCTATCTTGAGCAATGAGTCAAACAATTAAGTGAATTATTTTATTTCACAGTACTTGGTCAAGGAACAGGGATAGATCAATACGGTTCGAGCCATTACCGCAACAATCTCTCAGATCTAATAGGCGTTCAAAGAGAACTTTGTCATCTCCGTTACTCATCACCTTTCAATGGCCACTAAAGAAGACATTGAGAACATCAACAAATCCATTGAGGCACTGTCTTCCATGATGCAAACCCTTACCACTAGGGTCACTACCATGGAACAAAACAAGGTCACTGTTTCCACTCTTGACAAACTGAAGGAACAAATGAGTAAGATCTTTGAGGATTTCACTTATGTGGAACGGCCTCCCACTCCTTTGGATGTGAAGGATATACTCCCTAAAAAGTTCTCCACTGCTGATATTCCAAAGTTCAAGCCTACTGACAATCCAATATTCCATTTGAAGGTGTTCTCTGCAACCATGGCTCTTAAGGGATTGGACGTAACACTCTTCCCTACGGTGTTCCCTCTCTCCTTAGAACATGTTTTCCAACAATGGTTTTATTCCCTAGATGCCAAGCGTACTGCGACTTGGCAAGATGTCACCGACAGTTTCATGAATCGTTACAAGTGTAACATTCAAACTAAAACTTCTGAACGTGAACTCTCCATTCTCAAACAGAAAGAGAATGAAGGCTTCACCGCTTACCTAAACAGGTGGAGGGAAACAGCTTCACTCTTGGTAGATCCTCCCAAAGAAAGAGAGATGGTTCGCCTCTTTATTCAAAATCTGACTCATAAATATAGGGAACATCTCAAATTTATTCCATTGAACACTTTCGAAGCTGTATACGACATCGGCATTAATATCGAGGATGAGCTAATAAAGACTGCTGGTAGTAACAATAATAACACTTGGAAAAACAAGAAGAACGACCATCCTTCTTCTTCGTCTTCTAAGCACGAAAATACTACCAACAATATAAGCCAAGTTGATCTCAATGAAGTGTTAGCCCTTGATACTCCATTACCCAAGAAGAAAAGAACTTACACTCATTTAGGAATGACTTATGATGCGGCCTTTGATCGCCTTTACGGTCAAGGCTTGATCACGCCTATTAGACCATTTCCAGTGCCAAAACCTGAAGAAAGGGGCGCCAAATGGAATCCCAATGCCTATTGCAAGTACCATCAAGGAAGGGGCCACACTACAGAGCAATGTTGGAATTTGAAGGACGTCATTCAAGACTTGATGGATGCAAACAAACTTCCTGTCCCTCCAGGCGGCAAGAAGTAATAAATACAAGGCACGCAGATCCTTTGTGCAAGATTTCATGATTTCTTTCTTTATCATTCTTCTCCATTCCCCCATTCATGTCTAGCATAGGTTTTCCACTTTGAATTTTTTTATATGTTTAATATGTTTCGTTCACCTTTTCCATTAATAAAATGAGCAATTTTCCTTTACATCTCGATCATAGAATTTTCCCTTCATTTAGTCATTCTCAATTAAAAAAATAAATAAATAAATAAATCAATTACCGAACTAAACCCAAGGTACACCAATGACTTGAGCCACCTTTGCAACCATGTCATTCCCTGTTAACCGTTCAATCACATTCCATTTCTTCATCAACCATTTTGAGCCTCGTCTAACGTTTGTCCTTCATTTCTTCAACCCACATTCACTTAACTCTGGGATTGGAAGATGTGTAATTGTATAACATTCAAAAAGCAAGTAAAAAAAAAAAAGCAGCAAAGCAACAATAAAACAATGTCTTAAGGCAAGTGTTCCAATGTCTTTGATATGAACACGTCTCAAATTGCGTCTCTCATCGAGTGCTTGGTACCGTGCCTGAGAAACATGAATGCTAAGTGAGTGATGGACCGCATGATCTGAGATTGTCTACATTGATTCAAAAAAAAAAAGAAAAAAAAAAGAAATTCAAAACAAAAAAAAAAAAAAAGTTGAAAATAAACTTGCAAAATTCAAAATTTTCAAATTCAAAATTACACATCTTGGGATTCTCTCAGGTCTTGAGCCTTTTACCCCTTTCTTCCTTAAACCATCAACTTAACCACATTACAACCCTTGAAAGACCTCTTTGAGGTGTACATACACTTGTGCAAAGTTCGGTTAGAGCTACGTTCGGCTTGATTCCTAACGGATACGTAGGCAACCTCACATCGAGGTGCGGCCGCATTCATATTCATATCCATGCATGATCGAGTCAAAGAATATCCAATGCTTATCCCTACCCATTTAGAGCTAGACTTGGGGGCTTGTACCCAAATCATTTAGCCTACCCAGCCTAAAGAGCCATCATCTTTGACTCTTCTCACGTCTCTTTCCATCACCATAACCCTTGCAGCCAGCCTTAGTATCACATTCACACACTTCACTCACACATTCATATCCAAATCATCCTTCCCTTTAAGAGCACTTTATCATGAAATCTTGTTTCAACACTGTGCATGTTTCATCATATTTAAAGACAACATTCAGTTGAAGAAACATTGTATACTTGCTTAGCTTCCTGACCTGAGCAATGTTCATTGTTTCGCATAATGTGCTAAGAAACATTTATATATCAATGATTTTTAATCATACAAAGCATATCGTGCTTAGCTCCTTGACCTAAGCAACGTCCATTATGCAATAATCACTATACGTGCTTAGCTTCCAGACCTAAGTGACGTTCAAAATAGCTTCTTTACACCATATATGATGCTTAGCTCCATGACTTAAGTTCATTCATCTATCGTGTCACATGATGTAATTGTCCTTAGCCTCTTGGCCTAAGAACATGCATCATGCATACATTATTTTCAGGACAAGCAATTCAATCCATACGATTTATTTCGTCTTGCTCAAGGAGGAAGTTCAAAACTTCTTTCCTTTTTCATTATTTTATTTTGGGGAAGTTCAAAAACTTTTTCCAAGTTTTCATCGAAGGAAGTTCGAAAATAAAAGTTTAGTTTTCACATCTTTCTTTTTCGGGAGAAAGTCGGTACCCTCCACTCATGACAAAAATTGACGGAAAATTTTTGCTTTTGCATCTTCGTTTGCTTGTGTCTGCACACACACACATACACACACACACACACACACACTCACAGGTCATACACATGTCATGTCA